TTATTTCATCAGTTTTATCAGTTTTTATGTTACGGGCTCCCCGTACAGATTGTAATAATATTAATAATAATTTAAATAATAATCAATATAATATGTCAAACAATCAACATGTAAGTGATTTAGATTAGATCAAACAGCTCTAATAATCAGGAGAAGGAATCTAGTAACAATAATAATTGTAATGATCAATATACACCGCGGGATCGTTCTAAAATAAAATTACCGAAGAGATTTCAAACATAATATTTAATGTTAAATAGAAAACATATTTGTATTAATTATTAGGAAAGTATTAATTTAAGAGGGAAGATGTAAGGTCATACTTAATATTAATCTATGGTACACATGAAAGGGCTTTTTATAAATGGCAACTCTGGGGGTGATCTGTGAACTGTGCTTTAGAACTTAATGTATAACCTAAAACTAAATCAATTAAAATCATATAAATCAACAAGATTAATTGTGTCTTTTATTATGCACTGAACCTGTACAATAATAATTTGTATCGGTGTAACTCTGTCAACAATGTCTTTGGCAAAATATTGGATCTGGTTTTCAGTAGCGATCCCGCAAATATTAACGTCTATGAGTCGGACTCTGCTTTGGTTCCGCTTGACCAACATCATCCCTGTCTTCAAATAGAGCTGGTGAGACCGGCTACAAAGACTGTCAAACCTAGTATGGTTAAAACACTCAATTTTAATAAAAGTAATTTTACAGAAATTAACAATCACCTAAATCAAATAAACTGGACTTCTGTCTGGAGCTCGGTTGCCGATGTCGATGAGATGGTGGATAAATTTTATCACAAAATAATGCCAATCATTGAAGAATTTACACCTAAATCAAAACGTAAAAATGACAAGTATCCATCATGGTTTAATGTCCCATTAGTCAGAGCCCTTAAGGAGAAAAACAGGTACCATAAAAGGTACAAAAAGTATGGTAACGAAATGGATAAACTAGTTTTTGATCTTCTACGTAAACGTTGCGAGGCATTAATAAAAGATTGCTTTTCTAAGTTTAAGCAAAAGGCGTCTAAACAACTACAAAAGTCCCCCAAATACTTTTGAAAATCTATAAAGCAGTTAAAATAAACAGTACATCATTGCCTAATGAAATGCATCTCGGTGGCAAGGTGGTTGAGGGGGGCCAAAATATAGCGGATCTTTTTGCAAGCTATTTCCAGTACGTGTATAAGACAAGTAGTTCAGTCCTTTTACCACAGCATAATCTAAACCATACAACACATGAATGCCACCACAATACGCTTAGTAGTATAAGAGTTAAAGAATGTGATGTTTTGAAAACATTGGAATCATTAGATTGCAGCAAGGGTCCAGGATCTGATTTGCTTTCTCCGACATTATTGGTTGGGTGTTCCAAAACATTATGTAAGCCTCTCACTAAAATATTTAATTATTCCTTAGAATCTGGTTTATTTCCTACAAAATGGAAACTGGCTCATCTCACTCCGATTCACAAATCAGGGGAGATTAATGATATTACACATTATCTACCGATATCTATTTTACCGGTGTGTGGGAAAATATTTGAATCCCTTGTGTGCAGAAATCTGCAACATTTTATAATTAGTCAAATTAACCAGAATCAACATGGATTTATGCCTCGAAAATCCACTGCAACCAATTTGACTGAATATATAGTAGATGTATCTGAGGCTCTTGATAGTGGTCAAAAAGTACACGTCATCTATACAGATTTTCAAAAGGCGTTCGATATTGTTAACCATGACGTATTATTGTCTAAACTGTCAAATTTCGGTATCCACGGTGAACTTTTGCGTTGGTGCAAATCTTATACGACTTCCTTATACGACTTCTTTGACGACCTCCTTGGCCGAGTGGTTTATACGCCGGGTTTCATGGTGTCGCCGACTCGAGAGGTCCCGGGTTCGAATCCCGGTGGGGGCAGATGTTTGTGTGATGAACACGAGCATTTGTACTCCAGTCATGGATGTTTAAATATGTATTTCTTTATAAATATACTTATATATGTATAGTTTATGTATTCTATCCGTTACCCTAGCATCCCATAACACAAGCCTTATAGTGCTTACTTTGGGGCTATGCTAATTGGTGTGAGTGTTGGAAATATTTATTTATTATTTATTATATACAGAATAGGTCGCAGCTCATTTCAGTGTATGATTTTAAGTCGACTGCTTCAATTGTCCCTTCAGGCGTCCCACAAGGCTCCCACTTGGGTCCTATTTTCTTTCTGGCTTATATTAATGATATATGTAATCATATCTGTCATAGCAAGTTCAAACTGTTTGCTGACGACTTAAAAATATATAGAACCATCAGCAGCCCTGGTGATATTGTCTTGCTGCAAAATGACTTAAATAATGCAATGCAGTGCAAGCAAAACTGTATGTTGCTAAACTCTGAAAAATTGGTTTTCTTGCGTCTTTCCAGGAATAAAATTATTTTTAATACTGATTATTATATCGAAAATAAAAAAAACTAAAACAAGTGGAGTGTGTTCAGGACTCGGGAGTTTTAGTGGACAGATTTTTAAATTTTCACTACTACTTTGACTATGTTATCAAAAGAGCTTCGAAATTGTCAGGATTTATAAATCGTCAGATGAAACTTTTTAATAATCCGGACCTATCGCTTAAAATATTTAACACTTTAATTCGAGGAATCTTGGAGTACTGCAGTATTGTATGGAATCCGGGATATCAAGTGCACTCAGATCGCATTGAACGTGTACAGAAACGCTTTCTTTACAACCTTGCTTATTCCGATCATAGATGTCGAGTGCTAAGATCTTATGAACAGCGACTGTCCCATTACAAACAGCAATCTTTAAGAGACCGGAGAAGAATGGTTGACATAATATTTCTGTGTAAAATAATGCGCGGATACACTGTTTCACCTTTTATTCTGCAACGCAGCAAATTATTCGTACCTCGACAAAACAGCCGTTTGCAAAATAGAAAATCTTTCAAACTTCCTGAATGCCGGACAAGACTTGGTCAGCATTCGCCAATCTACCGGATGTTGTCTGCTTGTAATGCAGTTAGACATAGTGTTGACATTTTTGGCGACTCTATTGCGGTAATGAAAAAAAAACTGAGAGCATTGTTTCAAATGTAACTGCTAGGGTAGTATTGTGTTCATAAAATTTAAAAAGGATTCTAAAATATTTATAAAAGTGCATGCTGTGTTTGCATTTATAAGATTTGTGATAATGGTGTCGATTCTGGCACGATTCTCTAAATCTAAACTTAAATTTGACAACAGTGTATCCTTGTCATTCTCTATACAGAATGAAAAGGACAGACTGATGTCAAATTTAGTTTTAAGTTTAGAGAATCACGCCGGAATCGATAACACTGTTAAGATACACTGTATGTAATTATTTTGTCATTTTCACAGTTCGGTTTTGCAAAACCAAATATAAAAAAAAAACTAAACTTTAATTTGACAACAGTGATGTCGATTCTGGCGCGATTCTCTAAATCTAAACTTAAATTTGACAACAGTGGTGTCGATTCTAGCATGATTCTCTAAACCTAAACTTAAATTTGACAGCAGTATATCCTTGTCATTCTCTATACATAATGAAAAGGAGAGACTGATGTTAAATTTAGTTTTAAGTTAAGAGAATCACGCCAGAATTGGCACCACTGTATCCTTGTCATTCTCTATACAGCTTGAAAAGGAGAGACTGATGTTAAATTTAGTTTGAAGTTTAGAGAATCCTGCCAGAATCGACACCACTGTTTTTTTTTTATTCTTTCAATTATCCTATTTCGTTTTCGTAACTTAATGGGCGCACAAACGTCAAAACGGCAGTCATCATAGCGTGCCGTTACTTTAAAGGAAGTCCATAAGTTACACTATTTAGGCGTGAACCAATGATTAAAGAAATACTCTGTGGAAATACTCTACTTCTTTAATCATTGGCGTGAACGCAACGAACGCAACCTTTGTCATCTGTTCTTGCTTGTCAATGTCATTCAGGTCAGTGCTGCCAACTGCACCGTAATTACGGTAAAAATACCGTAATTTGACGCCCTCTGTGGCCAAGTGCTATGTACGCCTGGTTTCAAGGTGTCACCTGCTCCCGGGGAAGAATTTGAATTCCGGTGGGGAAGATGTTAGTATGATGATTACGAGCATTTGTAACTAAGTAACGGATGAATATATTTTTACATAAAAACATCCTAATATAATTATGTATCAGTATTGTATTCGTTACCCTAGTATCACAAATAAATATTTATTTATTATAATTGGTACAGATCTACCAAAGAATTTTAATTAGGTTGAAAGAACACGCAAATGCCTATTTAAAAAAAATACATAAATAGAAAAAAAGATGTCATTTACAATAAAGTGCATAATTACAATTATTTTGCGATGTAAACATCTAGCAGTTAAAGGCGCCGGAAAATTTTGATCTTAGAGAAATTTCGGCGGTCGTGTAGTGTGTGGGCAATGACGGATTTGTCCACGGATGGATACGGCTCGGGGTACGGCTCGCGGTGCGTGTAGTGAATGGTGGGCTTAAAGGACTGAGTATCAGAAGCCAGAATAAATTAAAAAAAATATCAGAGGTTTTTGGCGGGATTTCATCGAGTGTGGTTGGCGTCTTATTTTAATTATTCTTAAATTCGTTCATAGTGGATATTGTGAAATAAAATTGGTGTGATTTTGTGTTACAACTGTCAGCGTAACTGAAGAATTAGTAGAATCGTCAAAATATACGCTTTTCCGATCAAGTGGACGTGAGAATTTTATTGTAGTATTGACTACCTCACAGAAGCTTATCGAAAAAGCCAGCTCGATACATTTCGTGTCAAACACTTCAAGAAACATTAGAATGCGTCATACCGACATTCTAATGTAAAAAGAAAAACAGAATAATTTAACTTAAGACTAGGCTGTATGGGCATTGTTCCCCTTGCCTTTCCTGAAAAGGGAGAACTTAACCAAAAAAAAAATCACTGTCACAACAAATATTGATTTGATAGTGTTTTGCCCTCTTCTACTTCAGAAAGAAAAGAAATTAAACGCACTTCCTTAAATTACCTAAAAACTAAATTAAATAAACAGTTATAATGGCTACTGAAAAAGATCCGTTAGTAAGTGAGAGATCAGGCACAGTACGTGAAGTTGGAAATCACGCTATTTGGAGTTTGTCTTCGTGTAAACCAGGTAGGTATCTGCTTAGTTATCTGCACGTACCTAGTTATTTACCTAATTTCTGCTTAGTTACCTTATTTGAATATAATAAATACCATTTTAATAACTCCTTTATTGCATATTAGAACGGCAAGTTGTTCGATGATCTTACATTTAAATTTTTATGTTGTTGTAGGTTTTGGTATAGATCAGCTTAGGGATGACTGCATGGATACCTATTGGCAATCGGATGGTCAGTTGCCACATCTAGTTAATATTCAATTCCAAAGAAAAACAATGGTGTCACATATTTACATTTATACAGATTATAAACTGGACGAAAGTTATACTCCAAGCAGAATTTCTATTCGAGCAGGAACACATTTTAATGACCTCCAAGAGATAGAAGTCATAGAATTAATAGAACCAAGCGGTGAGAACATATGAAGCCTTTGAGAATTCAATACTATACTTCATACCTAGTTCATAATAAACTTTACTCGTTTATTTATTTCAGGTTGGGAAATGATACCAATCAAGGATATACATGATAGACCCATCAGAACTTACATGATACAAATAGCAGTTTTAAGCAACCATCAAAATGGAAGGGATACTCATATGAGACAAATCAAAGTCCATTCACCTTGTGAACCTACCTCTTTTGACATAAACAAGTTCAGGAACTTTTCTACAGTGCAGTTCCAACAATATGCTACTATTCGTTAAAATGTCATACAAATAACTAAACAATAATTAGATTTAAAAGATTTTTTTATAATATTTAATAAATTTTAATTATAATAATAAAAGTAGTTTGTTTTTCAGTCTGATTCTTCACTGGCTGCCTCAAGCCACTCAAAGAACTTGACCACAGAAGTCTGAGCAACTAATGGACTTTCATATTCTTTTAGTTCTTCATACCATTCTAATAAAGAATCTTCATCAACTACATCTGTTTCATATAAAAGATGAACAATTTGACCGGCTTTGCCTTCAAGCCATGGACACTTTAAGCAGCTATCCTGTAAAATTAGTGGAAATGAGTACATTAGAAAATTAACTAAAAAAACATAATCATGTGCAAAAACAAAATTAACTTACTTCTACAGCTTTCAAACAATCCATAATAGATGATTTTGTTTTTATATAATTTGAGACAACAGGTTGAAAATACTTCCAAATATCTTTGATAGTGGCCAACACATTCTTTGCTTCTGTAAGTATTGGTATACCTAACAATGCTCTCACAACAAAGAAATTTACTTCATTTAGTTGTATATTGTATGCATATCTAGAAGAATTAATTTCCAGTATCAAGTAGTCACACTTCAATTTCTCCTCATAACCACGAGCCAAGCTGTCTATTACTTCTTGGAGGAAAACTGAAATAATAAATGATTTACAACTATTGACAATTTCATTGCAACTATTATTTATTTAAATTTTAGCAATCGGTCATTATTGATTCAACCTAACAACACCTACAAATCTTAGCATTGTTAGTGTATGTATATGACATATGAGAATGAGATTTGTACAGAAATATATTTATATAATACTAGCATTTGCACCCATGAATTTTTCCACATGAACCACAGCTCTCATCCTCTTTTTTTAACTATCAAGAAATTAATGAGGTCATTTATCAAAATTAAAAGTATATTAACCTTTGAGATGATAAATGTTTACTACAGTGGCAGTGAGCCAATTCTCGTCAAGATTAGTTATGTTGTTTCAGTGTAGGATAAACATATGATTACTCACTTACTTAAACTTCGTATATCATAAAAATATTGAACATAAAAGAAAATCCACAACTCACTATTGGTGTCATCTGGTACTGGTGAATCTGGCAAAGATGAGGCTTCACTGCTGTCAGAGGAGTAACATGATTCACTATCACTCCATTCCTTATCCAGACCAATAAATTCTTCATCTTCACTATTAACAGACTCATTCTCCCATTCATTTTCAGATGTAGATTTAGATAATGTTTTCTCTGAAATAAAACACACATAATATTGTATGAACTGTTATACAGTATATAAAAAAGTGTATAATATATACTTTTTCTATCAAGGTTACTGTCTTAAATTATTTTTACCTTTATTAGCACTAGAACATTCAATAACAGCCCCTTTCAAAATACTTTCTGCATTCAAATTAACATTTGAAGCTATTATAGTTCCAGCCTCTAATATTGACTTCTCTCCAATCACAGAATCATCTCCAATATAGCTATTTGAGATTTTACAATCATCTTTGATAGTCACATTATCCATTATGAAACTGCCTGTTATAACCACATTGCTTCCAATCAAACAATTCTTACCTATTACAGACTTTGTTATAGTCACATTATCACTGATATGAGAATTGTCACCCACCAAAACATCTTCAGTCAATAAACAAGATCTATTATGAGACAAAAAATAATACAGTCAATGAAATATAGTCATCAAAAATTGAGTCATTTAAGAATTTTTATATTACCTACTAAGTTTTGAATTTTTGCCTCGAAAATTGTGGTTTCCCATAAAAATAAAATTGTTTTGATAAAATGTGCCAGATTCAATTGATAGTGGATATGCCCAATTGTGGATTATATCACGGCTAAAAAATTAAAATACATAATCAAAATCAGCACCATGACTGGGTCTATTTGTACTATTAAAATTACTACTGCCATTTACCAAATAACTTGATAGGTTTTCCAGTTTGTTACAGCTGCTGCATATTCATCCGTCTTTAGTAAGATATAGTATAAACAACTAGCCAGGATTTCTTCATTAATGAGAATTCCATGAATGAAATCATCTCTAGTTTGAAAATCAAAGTTATCAGAAAACAATGGAGGTACTGATGGAGAACATAATGCAATATTTGCATCAACTAGATTATGATGCAATTTAACTTCAGAATGATTCAAGACTATATCCTGTAACAAAAATTTTACATTAATTTTCCCAAAACATTGTATTACCTATGTTTAGTACACTACTATTGATTATTTTACCAATGGCAAATTTATGGACTTGTCAGCAGCCTTTGGTTTATATTTCTGATGCATCAATACTTTTCCTGTGTTAGCATTAGCAGCCAGAAAGATTGGTTTATCAGATCTTATCATGGGGTGCTGCCAAGATACTTTCTTATACACCAGTGTCATTGCAGCTCCTTTATCTTTTTTACATGTTTGCCTGTAATATAAATATTACTAATAAAACTAGATACTTATTTTGGCAATGGTAACATGTAGAATAGGAAATGAGTTACTTATGTTGTTCTAATAAGGCTGCATAGTTGATATTGGATATACTATTCACTCCCATCAATATAAAATATCCTCTCACAAGACCTGCTGCATCTATTTCACGCATTACATCACCCATTGTCCTACAAGTGTCGGACATCAAGACTTGGACATCCATGGTTAAACTCCATGGTAACTTTTTTTCTTTATTCATCCTGAAATAGATAATTTCTTTATTTTTTAAGAACAATGAAAATCATAGAAACGTAATCTCAAGTATTATTTACTATATAACCTTATATATTCCTTTACTTTAGAGCCATTTTCACAACAGAATAGAATAGTTTCACCGACTCCACCAAGTGACAAACTTTCGAGTACATAATCAATCAATGGAACACCAGCAACCGAGAACAAGGCCTGAAATTTTCTGAGCTATAATAAATATCCTAATTATATGAAATTATGTTCTATCACATAATTAAAACTCACAGCAGGTTTAATATTATTTAGAGGACTGAAATTATTATTAAATGTATCCATTATGACAACAGCTTGGATCAGGTTCTCTTTATCAACGTCCATTTTATCTTTTTTATATAATTTGAAACGAGTACCCTATTTTATTTAATAAATTAATATAATAACTGATAAATGGGTTATAAATTCGTGTTGCCACAGTCTTCTGCTTCTTCTTTCTTTTTTATGGCATGCACGGTTTGTGCGTTCAGCCAATGTCAAGTAAAAGAAGAGTGTTGTCACCGAGCCACAGATTAGAGAGAATTTTTAAACTCTCGTTAACCAAAGAAAGGTAAGAGATTTAGGTTCTATAGCCATATATATATTCAGTAGCTTCATTATTTTTATTATGTTTTTAAGATAACCATATTTTAGATTTTTCGTGTATCAAACCTTATAATTTTATTTATTAATTAATTTATAGTCGGGGAACGTAGGTCCATAGATAAATACATTAAAGTCTAACTTATGCTGTCGCCTACCATCTATAATAATTGTCTGAGCACATTTGCATCTAGTGAAAATGATAATATAGTTGTGGATATTAATACCACAGTGTAATAAAAAAAATGATTTATTTTATCGATCTTTACAAAATAGATTTGTTTTTCTGTTATATAAACAACTTCGATCAGTCTTTGGCTGAATGTTATTACACCCATAGCCATTAAAAATGATTCGTATGTTTTCCACACCGGTAAAATTAAAAGTCCTTTTTAAAGTAAATATATTATACAAAGGTCTGACTGTAAATTAAATTATAAATTACGCCAAGAATTACCGTGTATGTCAATATTTTTTCTGCATTTGGGCCAATTTCAGCAATCTCCTTTGATAATTTGTTACATTTTTCTCAAACCAACAATGTGCGCACTAATTTGTCATTAGATCTACAAATATATTCAGAAATTATTATTTTCGCGTATTTTATCTTCGAATCTCACCAGAAAAACGTTTTGAAGTATGTACCTTTAATCTCCGTAAAAGAATTAACTAATGAGCCGCAAAAGAAGTTTGCTAATTAATTACCTCACATAGTGCATATAATGTCTAGCCGACTCTTATTGTTATGCTATTATGAGTAATTATATTTTGTGTAGATCAACCGCAAACTATACGTAAATTGCCCGCAACGACCAGTGCCGACCCGGTATACGGCAAAGTGCGACGTGCGACGTTCATAAGGTTTCTTCTTTGAGTAGGGGTGCCTTTAGTTAATCTGGTCGTTGCGGCCACTGGTCGTCGTCGTGGCCATCAAGTGCGACAGGTGCCTTAAACAATTAAGCGACTGCATCAACGATATCGTTGGACTGCATCCGCAATTCGCATCCGACCTAGCTAGGAGAGCGCCTATAGTATCCATCATGCATAATGTATGTCCGCTTCCTTCCCAGTTTTACTGCCTGATAGAGTATCACGACAACTACTGTAATTATAATCGTTACCTATTTACTGAACGTCAGACATGTAATAGGGCGTAGTCTTGGATGGACTCGGCTTTTGTTTGAACTTTTTGTTACCGTGGAGTTATCGATCTACAACTACATCAAACTCTAGACTCTAGCAATATGGATTATGATTTGACACGGATTGACTATATTATTACTGGAATTACATACCCGGATACGTTAAAAGTATTGCCAGCAACAACGCCTAAGTCACAGCAAAAGGTATCAATCAGCCCATCTTCCTAAGTAGTCGATAATTTTTCAACTAACCTCAAACAAAACAGGAGGTAATGCACATAGTGAAATGGAGCTCATAGTGAAGTACTAAATAATCTGTGTTAAGACCATCAAGGCGAGGGCAGCTGGAGCGGTATATTTTCATTCTGCCGCATCAACAATCTTCGTAACTAGGCTTCACTTACAATGATCAGGTGGGATGGAGTCACAAAAAAGCTTAACACCAAGTCAATAGTCGTCTTCCTTGGTTCTTGGTTCCTGACGAATACCTAAGTAGTTGCATTCGCGTGGACAAAGTACCATAAGTAAAAATATATCATGTTCAAAAGCATAAAATACCTCAAGATAATCAACACTTCAACTCATGTGATAAACAATAATAAACATAGATGACTAAAATAAGTATTACATGGAAATGCTCAAACAAAAAAAAAACAAACTAGTCTGGCCATAAATTCTGTTATATTAAAACTTATGTTTTCTTTAACTTTTATTAAAGAATTGAATTAAAAGCCTTATTCTGACGACGCAGCCTTTTCAGGTCTGCATCGTCAGAATAATGATTTTTTATTTACTTTGTCGAGCAGTATAAAAAATCATTATTCTAACGATGCAGACCTGAAAAGGCTGCGAAACGTTAATAAAGAAATAAATTTAGTACATTAACCCGTAAGAACAAGTTTTATTTAATGAGTGATGTGTGTGAAAACCTAAGAAAGAAATATGGAATGGGGTGTTAAAGAAAATAGGTTTGCAGTGATCGCCTTGCACAAAGTGGGTATGGAGCCGTCGGTCATATTCCAGACACTTCAAAAGCTTGGTATGGATCATGCCAATCTTCTAGTCCGCTCTGAACACTGCACAATTCGCGTCGTAGTACGTATTTAAAGGGACGGAGGTTGTGTTTAGGGCTGTACACCTGCGCAAAACAACTTCAGAGCGGACTAGAAGTTTGGCGCGATATAGATCAGCCGTATGTTCGTATATCGTTCGTATATCAACAGGTACAACAACGCTTTGTCTGTCGAAGATCAGAAAAGATCGGGGCGGCCGCGTGCTGTTAGAACTACAAAGGCTGTTAATGCTGTTAAAGTCAGAATTCGTCGAAACCCCATTACGAAACAAAAAATCTTATCGCGAGAAATACAGAATTCCGCTAGGATTCTGTCGCGTATTATAAAACAAGACCTCAACCCTTCAGAATTCAAATTATGGTCCGTTTTAGAATACATAGCCTGCTCTAAACGACACGGCGACATTGAGTCTCTTAAAAAATCTTTGGAGCATGCAGTGCGAAATTTCCCTTGGCAACAGTGCGTAAATCCATAGATTCGTGGCCAATCAGATTAAAGGCTTGTATAAAAGCTAAATGTGGTCATTTCAATAGAATATTTTTTTTTATTTTTGCTGAGACTAATAAATATGTAGGAAAAAAATCCACGCGGACCAGGCAGCGGACGGGATTCGAACCCGCACCCTTTGCTATCCGGGCGAATACACTGACCATTATGCTACCGCGGCCTTGACTTAGAATTTACTTACTTACTTAGAAAGATTTAAACATCTAGCAGTTAAATGCTTAAAAAATAAAAACATAAATATGTAGGTATAAATTTTAATAATATTACCTTTACTTCATTTAAAAAAAATGCATTTTCATTTGTAACAGAACTTACGGCTGGACTAGGTATCTACGGGCTCTCCAATTGGAGCGGAAAATCCGATGCCTTACCTCTCTTAAGAGCTGTGTTTTAATTAAAAAATGGTATTTTGCTGTCTACTGTTAAAGCTCCAGTTTGTATATATGTTATTTCTTATACCTACGTTAATATTTTATTGCAGTTTGTCGTCGGGGATAAAAATGGTGTATTACAGTGTTTGGGCATCAAGGATGAAGAGCCAGTAGTTCAATTTAAAACATTACCCGGAAAACCAATTACTTCTGTACAACTTTCATGTGTCTCTGGTTTGTAACTATGAAAATACGAAGTATCCTACTTAATTAGATAGATCAACTTTTTCCGACCGTGCTTTCTCACTTAAGAACCTGCAGTGCTATTCTGTTAAGATACAACATTTTCCGGATTGGATCCGCTATGGATCCGCGCGTGAATGCGAATAGCACTCTGCTGCAGAGTGCTATTCTGTAAAGTTGTCTCATACAGTTTCTTTACAGAAAATTTTGTGTCTTTAGAGAATAGCAATGCTTCTTAGATAGATTATTCTCTTTATCCTCAATATTGGATAGATTTTTCAAAAAATTCATAATTACCTAATAATTTATTTTGGCATAAATTAAAAATATCAACTTTATTAGTAGGTATTAAAAATCTTTTCTCTATTGTACTCACCTATGTACTTATTTAATATTAATATCTAACTCAGACATTTTCTCTGGGAATTCGTTAAAGATTACATCCTTTTTTAGTTATATTACTATATCAAATACTTATTCATGTTTTGTTATAGGCGTACAAACAGATAAAATTTTCGTTGCAACTGGAAATGAAGTCAAGGGTTACACAAGAAAAGGAAAAGTATTTCTGACAATCGAAACTTCTGTCTCCGAAACAATTACTTCTATGTATGTTGGTATACCTATAAGAATATAAATATTTCATATGCCGATTATAAAAATTTTAATATTGTGTTGAAGCTTTATGTTCATTTATTTGTATGTACCTAAGTGAAAGCACGGAAGAAGTTTAATCTTAAAAATAACTTAAGAAAATAATATATTTTTAAGGTTCTTCCTATACACGGTTACTGGAACAGTCGACGTATATATTTAGGGACATTATTATTCAGGTCATTGCATAGACTTCATCCTATGACCTTACGTCAAAAACTTAACCATTATCAATAAAAACATATGTTTTTCTTAATAATACTATTTTGGGCTATAATTTTATGTTCATTAATTATTTTTCATCTCTTGGGTCAGACTTTTATTTAAAAACAGTAAAATAAATAATAGGTAAACTTGAAAACAATGCTATCTGGTTATAACGGATAAATTTAACTGATTAAATGTAGTGGATTTTCGCAACTTTCCAATAGGTTAATAAACAAAAGTTGTAGGTATGAAAGTTAACCTGCAAATTATATTAGTAACTTACACATATTTTTAGCTATCCAAAATGGTACACAATTCCAAGTAAAGTAGGCGAATCAAAGCTAACATGAAGAAGTAAGTGGTCTCGGACCATAAATTCTAAATGTAAAAAATAAACAGAATATCATTTAATGAAATAATAAACATTTTTATTTAATTATTTTTATTGATCACAATTCATGTTTTACATGGTTTCTTCTTCGTTATCCACTTTCCACGACCCCAGTTGTAAGCTGCCGCCTTTTTTCATCAGCTGCGTCAACAATATTTCTTATTAAAACATATACATAAAATTTTTTTAAAGGTACTATAATTATTAAAATTATATTATTAAAACTAATTTAAGTAAACGTTGTTATGAATGCGATTCATTTATTTTACATTTTTTGTATTTTTAATAGTTTCTATGGTTCAAGGTGCGTCGTCGGAGGCGATCTGATTCTCTGCAGTGGACGAACGGTCACATGTTACAGAGATTTACGGGAGATGAATTCATATGTTTGCGAGGATAGAGTGCTCGATATGGCGGTGTTTGCCGCTCCGAACGTATGTTTAATTAAATATATGCACTACTTACTATGGTGTTGGTGCCAGCAGTTTTTTATTATAACAATACATTAAACGTTTTTGTTGGGTCACAGCACTTCCTTATGAACAGCATCATAGACCAAAAACATGCACGTATAAATGACTATTTTGTTCCAAAGTAACCAGCTTGTAATTTGACAACTAATTATTTATCGTACTATAGAATACATAATAAAATTATGTTCCATGTAGGTATAAACAACCATGACATGAGAAAACAAATGCGGAGCTGCCGAACAATACGGTACAATAACATAAAATTAAATTTTACAGGAGCTTCATAAAACTGCATGACATAATCATAATCATAATCAAAATCATTCATTCAGTTTAGGCTGTTACAAGCACATATGAATGTCTAGAACAGTGGTTCTCAAACTTTTTAAATGACGGAACCCTTTTGGGAAGCAAAATACTTGATGGAACCCTACAATAAAACAATTATTTTTATAAGTGTATTCTATATTAATCAGCATAATAAAAGTACAATGTATCCGTTACTAATTATTATTTACTTCACCACTTGGTAAGGACAATAATAGAAAACATTAAAAAAGAAAAAATCTAACTAGTGGGAGGTATGAAACTGTTTTTTATTTTTCATCAATTGCTTGATATCAGGTTTGATGGAAGAAAGTTGGAGTCTCATATCAGCTTCGGCGTCCAGTCTATTGCGATATTTTGTTTTCGTGGCTGCGTAGGTAGAGAATCCTGTTTCGCACAAATATGTAGTTGGGAACGGGAGAAGAATATCCAGAGCCATTTGGCCAAGCATTGCATATTCATCTTGGATTCTGCACCAAAAATCATTAAGAGGCGTCGTTTTGAACAATGACTCCATACTTGTGTCTGATGACATTTCTAAAAGAGATTCATATATCTCATTTGACATGTTTTCAGGCTTTTCCAAGTTGGGTAAAAAAGGATTATGAATCCAGGAGTTCACTTTAATTTTTGTATTGTGTTCTTCGGGAAAATACTTTTCAAAAGATGCGCGCATCGAACTGAGATATTGGACCAATTCTTCAAACACATTATCTTCAAACATTTCTGAGTCGTTTTCGCTAACAAACTCAGTGAGTAACGTAAAACTTTCTATTTCTTTCTTACCAATGCAAATGATCCAAAAATCTAATTTTCTTTTAAAAGTAGTTATTTTATTATAGGCCTGAAACACTGTTGTCTGTTTACCTTGCAATGATAAATTTAATTCGTTAAGTTTTTGAAAGATATCCGCCATAAAAGACAATCGGAACAACCAAGTTTTATCATACAAACGGTCCTTCAAATTAAAAGAAGTATCTGCTGAAAGAAACATTTGTAACTCGGCTCTAAGTTCAAATAGCCTTGTTAAAGTTTTTCCCCGAGACAGCCATCGCACTTCTGTATGGAGCAGCAGTGTTTTATGTTTGCTGCCATAATTTTCACACAATAATGAGAACAATCGGGATTGTAGTGGTCGTGATTTGATAAAATTAATTATTTTTACCGCTTCATCCATAACTAATTTTAGATTAGACGGCATTTGCTTCATCGCAAGTGCTTGTCTATGCAGAATACAATGACTGGAACTACAATTAGGCGCTTTATTTTTCATTCGTGACACTGCTCCTGCTGTTTTACCTGTCATCGCCTTGGCCCCATCTGTACAAATGTCAATGCAATTGTTCCAACTGAGATTATGTTCTTCAAAAAATATATTTATTTTATTAAAAATTTCTTCCCCGGTAGTGTTTGTAAGCAGCGATGAACACATAAGCATGTCTTCTTCAAAAGAACTTTTATATGGATATCTCACAATAACCAGCAGGATAGCCAAACCAGCGACATCAGTCGACTCGTCCATTTGCAAAGCGAATCGTGTATTTTGTAGACGTGTAACTAGTTCTTGTTTGACGTAGCTTGCCAGATCATGGATTCGTCGTGAAACAGTATCGTTTGATAGCGGAACAGTAGAAAGATGCTTTGCAGATTTTTCATCAAGCATACATTTTGTTATGTCTAATACACATGGTTTTATTAATTTCTCAGCGATAGTGTGCGCTTCACCTGCTTGTGCAATGCGATAGCTAACTAAGTATGATGCCTCCGTGGCCTTTTCGTTGGTAGTTTGTGTTACATGCATCATATTTTTTTGACTTTCTAATAACTGATCTTTTTTGCGAACAAAAAATTCTTTATTCTTGTCTTTAGTCTCGGGGTGTACGGTTTCTAAATGTCGACGCAATTTGGCAGGTGCCATGGAACTATTAGGAAGCAGTTTACTACAGAGCATGCAGAGAGGTGAGCCGTTGGAATCAACAAATCCGAAACTGATATAAGATTCATCATACTTCCTTTTTTTCGTCTTTGAAACCGTCGAGCTTGACGTCGTGGCACTCGTGGCATCATCTTCTGGATCGGTGATTGCTAAATTCTCCGCGCGCATTGCTTTTGAACATTCAGCGTCATTAGAAGATGTTGTTGGAACACGTTTAACACCTTTAAGCCAACGTTCCATTCTTCTTTATTTATAATGTTACAAGTCAGGATAGTGGGGTTTAAATAATGCACAATCGTTACTGCGTATAAGAGACTAAATTTAGAACCTACAGGGAAGAAATGTATAAAACTGAGACAACAGAATACAGCAGGCAGTAAAACAATGAACACCAGTTTCTCGCTAGCGAGCTTGTAAGTAGGTAGTAACTTATCGCTCCGAACGCTAATCATCAACTGACGACGCCAACGCGCGATCGCCGCTTTTATACTTAGTCCTAGACTCGATCTCAAATATTCTCGAAAATACTCGAGTCGGCACCTTTGATAAACAAAAAGCAAAAATAAAAACAGAAATTTAAAAATAGCGTTGTAAACAATATCGACTTTATCCTTTGAAGTTAGAGACGAAAGTCGCTAGTTGACAACTATAGCGTCTAATTCAGAGGCGGCTTTTATCAAAGAGACTGAGCGCTTACAAGTATACTACCCGCTCGTTTTAAGTTTGCCGCTGGCGATAGGTATGAGTGTATGACGTTCGAAATTTTTTATTTAATTGTAACAATAAAAATTGTGTACGTTAGATATTTGGGTAAAACTATGACACATTATAAGTTTTGTTGTCACGTGGGGGAGGGTACGCGCATTCCACAGACCGGCAAACTTAGAGCGAACGCGTTGTACAAGTATAAAATTGTTGAGACCAAACTTATGAGATATTGTACCAGCTAATGTAACACAAGCTTATACAAATACAAATAAATAAATAAATAACATTCATAGCGTTTTGTCTCCGCGCGGCCGCGGAGTCCGCACAGCCGCGGAGCGACCAGAGAGAGGTGTTTTGATTTTTTTATTTCTAAATTCTTGCGGAACCCCGACAGAGGTATCACGGAACCCTAGGGTTCCGCGGAACACACTTAGAGTATAGCTGGTCTAGAAGCTACGCCATCGGTTCGTAAATCTACGACGGGAGACCTCCAGTGAGCTTTTGGCATGGTTTTTATTTTATAAATGTCTTGATTGAAAATTATGTGGGATTCAACGGAGCCGAAGCCTCCGGACTGTAAAAAAAGTAGTTTGACCAGATGAGTAATTATACCTTTTTGTTCGTCAGCTCCTCAAACATCCAAGCTCATTATACAGATAAATGACCATACTGGGAATCGAACTCAGGTACTTTTATGGGAAGCAGAAGGTAGGAGCTCTACCTTTGCAACAACCGGTCGTCAATTTGGTCTTTCATGAATTAGAGCGCCTGTCTATGTAACAACCTCCTCCTAACAGAGACCTAATCTAAAAAAAATATTAGTGCTATATAAACGTCAATAAATAAATAAAGTTTCGTGCATTAACCCGTAAAAAACTAGTTTTATTTAATGAGTGACGCGCATGAAAACCTAAGAAACAAATTAGTGCTATGTTTTTGTTTTTTTTTTTATATATAGATAGGTCCGACAAATGACTCCACCCCTCCTGATGTTAAGTGATGGTGAAGTCCAGACGTGAAGAGTTGATTTTGTGTTGATGAGTAAACTACTAGTGAGTGAGATGAGTACTTGACTTAGGCATGGAGTGCCTCCTGATCTTTACTTTTTGTTGAATAATGTGACCGATATACGAACTGTTATCGAGAACTGCAAAAATTATTGTTACGCTAACGATGTAGAGGTTAGGGAAGTGTTTTTGTATTTTATATGAATCAAGTTGTGATAAAATTTCGATCGTGGAAGTTATTGACCCGTTCTCGCTATTTCATCCATAGGCAGGTCTGTGTCCCAGCCAGCAGTCAGAACTTTAATACTTAAGCTGTTAATGATGATGAACAACCTTCACCCGTCGCGTTAGTGTATCCGATATCTAGTATTAAGGTTTTGAATCGACTTATCTTTCTGCCCTACAGAGTACCCGAATACGTTTGCTAGCTTTGGTAGCCAACAAAGGAGCAGTACTTTTAGAAAATGGCCGATTAATTGCACACGCTACAATATCTTCTGGTCCGTCACGGCTAGCTGTTCCTCCAACTCATCACTCTAATGACACACATGCATTTTATGGAGCAGTGGATGGTTGTATCGGTCTTATTGTTTATCAAGAGTTGGTATTTATACATTTTATTTACCTATGAAATTTTGGCATATAAACATTTTAATAGTATAATAAATAGATGACATATCCAAAACAGGAAGAACCCTTTGTAGACGGGACAGGAGATTTTTTTATTGACCAAATTATTTTCATGTTTAATGAAGAATAGAACAACTCATAAAGATTTAATGTAGAAATGAATCTACATTTTTGCTATTGTTAAAAAGTATTTAGGGGTTCTTATCTCTGGAATGGGGTCAAAGTTCCACGGGGCTTAAAGTTTCATATTAGCTAGCTAACTTAATTGACATAAGTCTTATCCACAACTTATTTTACTTTTCAGTTCAATGCTCACCACAATATGTTTGATGGAATGCCGCGGTTTGGGTGCTGTGGTATGTATGGGATGGTTCTTTAGTGTTGGTGGTGCTCACCTCGCCATCGGTCGCCACGACGGATCTATACAACTTTATCTTGTGGACTTAGAAAACATAACAGAGAAACCACGTTTGAAATTTACCTATGTAAGTCATGCATTTTGGACAAGTAACCTACTGAATGAATAGGAATAAAGTGAATAGAAATTTGATTTTGTCATACTTACAGTTTTGTGGTGAGCCAGTGACATCAGTCACCGGAGGTTCCATAGGGTCTGAAGATAACGAGTTACTGGCTAGTACCTTTTCAGGAAGAATATTTGCGCTGCGGTCACGTCGTCATGCTTCGGGAAGCCTTGCAATGGCTAATATTCCCCAAGAAGCTTTTGCTTCAAGAAGATCGAAACTGGAGTTAGTATAGTTTACATACCTTACTGTTACCATAATAACTAACTCCATCAATTACCTAGTAATTATTAAAAATGTAGCTCTTCTTGAAGTAAATCTTAAGTAGACCAAGGTTTTCCCAAAAAAAGGCTGTATCTGTATTCTAGAGTTCAATCAACTGCAAACAAAACGGTAATTTTGTTTTGCATAAACCGATTGTCACGTTATTGTTAATCTGATATCGTCTTTCTGATTTCATTTCATTTCTGATTACAATCGTATATAACATATTTGCATTCAATAAAAGTGAAAGTCGGCGTAAAGGTAAAGCCCTGCATTACGATGACGAGATATTTTCACCATCTTGAAGACGAAAGGTGTTCTGCTGCTAGACTGATTTTTTGAATGCATGTTTGCCTTCGGATGCTTTGCGCCTCTTTTTGGTCACAATTGAAATAATAATGTAAGGCGGAAGTTAAGGGCTTGTAAGCTTGCTTATTTCATATAGCGTAAAAAACTAAGTGGCACCTCACCAGTCACGCACGATACTTAGCTAGTTATGTTTAAACTTTGATGTGTTTTAATATACACATGGGTGCGTAATATATATAACTTTAAAGATATTGGATTTACAGAACAGAAGTCGCTCGATTGGAAAAACAAACAGCAAATGAACGAGAAAAATACCAACGAAGCACTCGTTCTCTGAATGCAGGATTATCAGCACCACCTCTCCTCGACATTCAATGCGAGGTACCCATTACCATAGTAAAAACAGTATAATCAACCTTCTAAATACCTAATTAAAAAGGAATCGTTAAAGATAGTTACCTACTTACATACAGCCAGTTGAAATAATCAACCTCCATAGTAAGGGAGCCCAAGCAGAGATTTTTGATTTACTCGAGCGCGGCAGAATAACATAAGGAAGGCCTTGCACCTTGTGAAGTACTCCCACCATACCTAAGCCCTCTATGTAGAGCCTAAACGTCTAGGGCAGTGGTTCTCAAACTTTTTAAATGACGGAACCCTTTTGGGAAGCAAAATACTTGATGGAACCCTACAATAAAACAATTATTTTTATAAGTGTATTCTATATTAATCAGCATAATAAAAGTACAATGTATCCGTTACTAATTATTATTTACTTCACCACTTGGTAAGGACAATAATAGAAAACATTAAAAAAGAAAAAATCTAACTAGTGGGAGGTATGAAACTGTTTTTTATTTTTCATCAATTGCTTGATATCAGGTTTGATGGAAGAAAGTTGGAGTCTCATATCAGCTTCGGCGTCCAGTCTATTGCGATATTTTGTTTTCGTGGCTGCGTAGGTAGAGAATCCTGTTTCGCACAAATATGTAGTTGGGAACGGGAGAAGAATATCCAGAGCCATTTGGCCAAGCATTGCATATTCATCTTGGATTCTGCACCAAAAATCATTAAGAGGCGTCGTTTTGAACAATGACTCCATACTTGTGTCTGATGACATTTCTAAAAGAGATTCATATATCTCATTTGACATGTTTTCAGGCTTTTCCAAGTTGGGTAAAAAAGGATTATGAATCCAGGAGTTCACTTTAATTTTTGTATTGTGTTCTTCGGGAAAATACTTTTCAAAAGATGCGCGCATCGAACTGAGATATTGGACCAATTCTTCAAACACATTATCTTCAAACATTTCTGAGTCGTTTTCGCTAACAAACTCAGTGAGTAACGTAAAACTTTCTATTTCTTTCTTACCAATGCAAATGATCCAAAAATCTAATTTTCTTTTAAAAGTAGTTATTTTATTATAGGCCTGAAACACTGTTGTCTGTTTACCTTGCAATGATAAATTTAATTCGTTAAGTTTTTGAAAGATATCCGCCATAAAAGACAATCGGAACAACCAAGTTTTATCATACAAACGGTCCTTCAAATTAAAAGAAGTATCTGCTGAAAGAAACATTTGTAACTCGGCTCTAAGTTCAAATAGCCTTGTTAAAGTTTTTCCCCGAGACAGCCATCGCACTTCTGTATGGAGCAGCAGTGTTTTATGTTTGCTGCCATAATTTTCACACAATAATGAGAACAATCGGGATTGTAGTGGTCGTGATTTGATAAAATTAATTATTTTTACCGCTTCATCCATAACTAATTTTAGATTAGACGGCATTTGCTTCATCGCAAGTGCTTGTCTATGCAGAATACAATGACTGGAACTACAATTAGGCGCTTTATTTTTCATTCGTGACACTGCTCCTGCTGTTTTACCTGTCATCGCCTTGGCCCCATCTGTACAAATGTCAATGCAATTGTTCCAACTGAGATTATGTTCTTCAAAAAATATATTTATTTTATTAAAAATTTCTTCCCCGGTAGTGTTTGTAAGCAGCGATGAACACATAAGCATGTCTTCTTCAAAAGAACTTTTATATGGATATCTCACAATAACCAGCAGGATAGCCAAACCAGCGACATCAGTCGACTCGTCCATTTGCAAAGCGAATCGTGTATTTTGTAGACGTGTAACTAGTTCTTGTTTGACGTAGCTTGCCAGATCATGGATTCGTCGTGAAACAGTATCGTTTGATAGCGGAACAGTAGAAAGATGCTTTGCAGATTTTTCATCAAGCATACATTTTGTTATGTCTAATACACATGGTTTTATTAATTTCTCAGCGATAGTGTGCGCTTCACCTGCTTGTGCAATGCGATAGCTAACTAAGTATGATGCCTCCGTGGCCTTTTCGTTGGTAGTTTGTGTTACATGCATCATATTTTTTTGACTTTCTAATAACTGATCTTTTTTGCGAACAAAAAATTCTTTATTCTTGTCTTTAGTCTCGGGGTGTACGGTTTCTAAATGTCGACGCAATTTGGCAGGTGCCATGGAACTATTAGGAAGCAGTTTACTACAGAGCATGCAGAGAGGTGAGCCGTTGGAATCAACAAATCCGAAACTGATATAAGATTCATCATACTTCCTTTTTTTCGTCTTTGAAACCGTCGAGCTTGACGTCGTGGCACTCGTGGCATCATCTTCTGGATCGGTGATTGCTAAATTCTCCGCGCGCATTGCTTTTGAACATTCAGCGTCATTAGAAGATGTTGTTGGAACACGTTTAACACCTTTAAGCCAACGTTCCATTCTTCTTTATTTATAATGTTACAAGTCAGGATAGTGGGGTTTAAATAATGCACAATCGTTACTGCGTATAAGAGACTAAATTTAGAACCTACAGGGAAGAAATGTATAAAACTGAGACAACAGAATACAGCAGGCAGTAAAACAATGAACACCAGTTTCTCGCTAGCGAGCTTGTAAGTAGGTAGTAACTTATCGCTCCGAACGCTAATCATCAACTGACGACGCCAACGCGCGATCGCCGCTTTTATACTTAGTCCTAGACTCGATCTCAAATATTCTCGAAAATACTCGAGTCGGCACCTTTGATAAACAAAAAGCAAAAATAAAAACAGAAATTTAAAAATAGCGTTGTAAACAATATCGACTTTATCCTTTGAAGTTAGAGACGAAAGTCGCTAGTTGACAACTATAGCGTCTAATTCAGAGGCGGCTTTTATCAAAGAGACTGAGCGCTTACAAGTATACTACCCGCTCGTTTTAAGTTTGCCGCTGGCGATAGGTATGAGTGTATGACGTTCGAAATTTTTTATTTAATTGTAACAATAAAAATTGTGTACGTTAGATATTTGGGTAAAACTATGACACATTATAAGTTTTGTTGTCACGTGGGGGAGGGTACGCGCATTCCACAGACCGGCAAACTTAGAGCGAACGCGTTGTACAAGTATAAAATTGTTGAGACCAAACTTATGAGATATTGTACCAGCTAATGTAACACAAGCTTATACAAATACAAATAAATAAATAAATAACATTCATAGCGTTTTGTCTCCGCGCGGCCGCGGAGTCCGCACAGCCGCGGAGCGACCAGAGAGAGGTGTTTTGATTTTTTTATTTCTAAATTCTTGCGGAACCCCGACAGAGGTATCACGGAACCCTAGGGTTCCGCGGAACACACTTAGAGTATAGCTGGTCTAGGGCAACAAAAAATTACGACAATCTGCCATGTCTTTTGGTCGCGTCCAAATCGTCAGTATTTTCAAAGTAGCTACTGGATGCTCCCTTACTAACTAACTACTATTAGAAGGTAAATATAATCTGGTTCTTACCAGCTGGTAAATACAACAGTTGTTGTTATTAATAATTTAAATAACAAAAATATCTTGGCAACAAAGCTCCAATAGGCCTTGCTCTTACTGGAGTATGATTATTGAAACTAGCCATTAAGCAATCAAAATGTTAGCTTGACCAAATTTACAGCTAACAGGAGCGAAAGAAGATGGTTGGCAAGAAGCCAGAATCACATCAGCCGTTCCACTGGACATGCTATTTGTTTATTGTGGCCGTAAGCTAGACATGAAGACCGACAGTGCTGCAGTGCTCAGCATATGTTCGTCACAGGTGGGTTCATGTGTTTTACATTGTCACTTTACATATTTTTCTAGAAAATTCTAAGATATGTTCTTATCAGTGCTATCATAGATTGTTCTTATGAAATGCACTTTTAAAGGGTACGAATCAAGACTTGCTAGCAACAGTAAGATGTCAAGCGGGCACAAGACGATTATGGGTGCGAATGCGTTACAAAGTCGGCATAAACATGAGGATTTCAGAGTCAGTCAGCGTACTCATTTATGTTTTACCCGCGGGAGCACCAAGAGTAGCGCGATTGCTCGTTGTACGAATGCCGCTCCTTCCATATTACTCGCAACACGAAAACCAGAGTGTAGAAAATGAACTAAGGTAAAGAAACCTTTTCAAATAATATCACAGTTTGTTAGTAGACTGTTCTTAGATTATCCAATTTCTTTCAGATCATGGGCTGAAGTGTTAGTAACTGGGAGTTTCTCTGTCGCGGAAATGACGTCATGGCTAACTGAAGTCCTACCTGGAGAACTTCCAAGGCCTTCTAATAACATAGTCTTTGCTCGATCTCATACCCTTCTAAAGACTATTCTTTTATGTCAATACCGGTTTGTTTCTATTATACAACATGCAACAGAAATAATGCACACCCTGAAAGTAGTTTGGTTGAGATTGACTTCTGAATTTACATTTTGTATATTATTTGTAACAAACTACTTTCAGGGTGTGTGTTATTTCTGATACACGTTGTTTATTTAGTAATTATTAAATTTATTTTATTATGCATATAAACAATCTTAAAAACGAATTGCTAGGGTCTGGGTGTTTGGGGTGTTATGACATTGGTCAAATCGCCAAATTAGAAATAAGACAAATTGGGAATTCTTCACATCCTCTTTTCCTCAAATTATGTAATTTGCCAAAAACGCCATTCGTCAATAGTAATTTAAGTACAGTAAACAACAAAAAAAAAGTAGATACTACCTATATTTTTTTAAACTTATTTGTTCATCTTAACGTCAACTAAATTCTTATCGAAGTTAGTCAAACAGATATGTCAACTTTCTCTCTGAATTTATGCAGAATCAGAGCTTAAAGTTATGGATCCATTGCAATCGTCCCTGTTTACGCAACACCTGATTGTAGTACCGTTTTTGTTACTTTTGTTAAAATGGAACTGTTATCCTGCACGTAGATAAACTCCACTCCATTTTCCACCTAGATAAACTTCTTACTGCAACTGTACATGGACTTGAACAATGGCGTAAATGGCAAATTACTTATATATACGTAATACCAATTCGTCTAATTTCTCGATTTAACCAATATCAGATTTAACCAACATCGTAACACCTGGCATCACCATCCGTCGCCACCTACTGGATCCATAGAATTTACCCACCCAGGGACCCACTCAATTGCATTGCTAATATTCTTTTTACGTTTCAATGAGGATCCGTAACGATTTTAGTTGAGAATGCAGATTTATATAGCTAAGGGTTCCATAAAATACAGTGGATAAATTTTTATTCTACGATAAATATTGACGAAGTTATGACCAAATTACTAAACGAATTTTTGGCTGGCCGCGTGGTGGCTATGACGTCGCAGAGCTCTAGCGCTGGCTCGGGCGCGATCGCGTGCGTAGATACGCTACTGTATTTCGACCGGAGTGATACACGATCGAGCTCTGTGATGTCACACGTTTCGGCCGCCGGTGAATATTAGCTACCATAAAATTAGTTATAAAATCGCAACGAATGAACCGATTTCGATGATTTAAAAAGTATATTAATTAAAAAGCTTATTAGATATACTGTTGATTTTGAGTTGACTTGCTGACCTAGTAATGATCCTCATTCGAGTCTACTCATTTTTATAACTCGACTAATCCTAAGCACGTTATAATTTCTTTTTCCAGGCGTGGAAATGCTGTGTTTAAAACAGACAATATTTCAACTCTAGCAGTCATACGAGATATTATGTCCAATTGTTCTGTAACCAAAAGTATAAGAGTAGAAATCACCTACGGTAGGTACCTATGTTTTCTTTTGATTGTTGATATTGTTTTTTTAATTTACCTTTTTTACTACTTACTCAGATATTCCAAGTGATTGCTGCTTGAAGTCTTTTATTCGATTGCAAGAATATTTCGAAGAAGAATATAAAAAGCATAACAGCTTATTCATTAAGAAAGCTATAAGGTAAAATATTTTTATATATTATCGAATGCCGTAATAATCATACTACGTAACTTGACGGAAATACAAGCCTATATTTAAGAAAGAGCAAATGCCTTGATATTTAGGTATCCTCGATTGATGAACTACTACGTAACTTGACGGAAATACAAGCCTATATTTAAGAAAGAGCAAATGCCTTGATATTTAGGTATCCTCGATTGATGAACTGCATTGGTTCAAAGTGGAAGTTTGATTGTAAATTATTTAAAGTTAATGTTTTGTAATCCGATATAATGAACGTTCACAATATTAGATATAAGAGAAACTACATGTGACCATGTACGAGTGTACTTAACTGCGTGGGATTAAACTATTGACTGCATGGGATTAAAAGAAGTCTGTGAAAGTTATAAATTAACTCAACAAATATTCTTATTCTGCTGTTACAGATCATTGGACTTAGATGACAAAGCTGTCAATGATGAAGAACACACTTTGTGTGAAGACTATTGGCATATATGGAACGCAGTTGATGAAGATAACACAAAGTCAAATTTTGAAGAACTTGTAGGTAAGTCAAGTTAACGATATTGAATACCCTAGATACACCAATACGAACAAAATTACAAGAAAAAAAAAGTACATTGGACGATCCACGGAACTTCGTAAGATGATCACGTAGTCTAAACATAAGACATTATTTAAACAACAACATATAAGACATTATTCAAACATTGAAAATCACCATTAAAGCACAATGTACAAGGTCTTAATTAAAACGCATGTGTCAAAGAGTTATGACTGTCCGAGATGTAAGCTCGTAAAATTTTATGACTTATTGCTATATGCGGAGAATATAGACCTTTTTTCTTTACTCTACGCGCAATATTCTGAATGCGCTGTTAGCATTATAGACCGGGAGCTGATAACAGGTGACGTTCCACGATTTTGTCGTGTTTTTCCGTGATAGTGTACTGCATGCCATTGTAATATACAGAAGTTTAAACAAATTAAAGCTGTAATAATTGATGGCATGCACTCCGCAGCGGCCCAAGATGATCATAGGATTCTGAAAACCTGAACAAAATTAAAGGGCAATTCCGTGTTTTGCATGCCGATATAAAGAGTAGAAGTTTTTGTAATAAATACACTCTGGAAAAATTGGCATGCACCCCTCGTATGACCAACGGTGATAAATTTCCGGATAACTCTGTAAAATTTGAACACAGATTTTCCGTGATTCCAAATTACACCTAATAAAAATTAATATTAATTTTATAACAAAATAATTATCTAATTCAAATGGCATGCGTGTTGAATAAGCCCATCGTATTGTAAATAATAATAATAGTTTCAAAAAACACTGTGCAAATTTAGGTGACTTGTTTTTGCATGCCGTTTTGTAATTCGTCAATTTACATTATTTTAAGTCATAAATGTAAATGGCAAGCATGTAGCTACAGCCCAACATACAAAAATTGTGAAAAAATTGAATAAACATCAATTTCTCAATTGAACAAAAAAATCTGAAAAATGCCGTGACTTCTTCCTACATGCCACTTTGTATTTTGTTAGTAGATACTATTGTAAGCTGAAATGTGAAATGGCATGCATGTAGCTTCGTGAAAATTGTTTAAATAAACAAAAAAGAAGGTCCGATTTTATAATTTGTTTTTTTTTGTGAAAAATGAAAGTACAAACCGATTTAATAGCATAACTGTTATGAACCCGGAACCAGATGATGAATACCAACACTCAGAAACTTCTTCGGTTGCTGAAGTGCCCCATCAGCGCCCAAATTTTTCGAGCGCTCCGACTAACAAAAAAATATCCAAACGTAGCAAATTCTTGAAACAAGACATGCCTTCGGCGGGTCCACCTCCAGATTTTACGAAATCCGCTTTTGCAGATACATACGAAAAGATATACGACCTTATCGCTAGAAGTCCAGATCTTCTTAATAGTGGACGCACAGTTAGGAGGGAAACAAGGAGGAAGTTATTGGTAATCTCGAAGCTCTGAAAGCTCTTCTGATGCAACTTTATGAATTCGAGACTTCTGGAGGCTCTTCAGTCCCATCTTCTTCACCACACCATGCCTGTTGCGCCAAAGACTTACCAGCTGTTGTTGAACAAGCAATAACACGAGCTGTTCGCACTGAACTGGGTCGGGCAATGCCCCCGGCACTCGGCTTTGGGGGTGCCTCCTATGCCCAGGTCACTAAACCTTCTATTCCTTCTGCTAAAAACACATCCAATCATCCTCGCATGCCTGATGGGCCCTCGCGCTCGGCCCTTGTCATTTCTTGCCAGAGTGAAGGCGCTCCTAGAGAAGAGGTTATTAAAGCTCTGCGGGCCACTATAAATTATGACGTAACTGGATATACAGCAGCTAAAATAACACAGCTCTCTCGAGGAAAGATCAAAGGTGAATTTGATAACAAAAAAAATAATATGACTGATGCCCTAACACGCATTAACCAGTCCTCTACCACGTCGGGTATCTAAGCTGAAGAAGAACGAAAAATTCGCCCTATGTTTATATTAAAAGGTGTCACAAAGGACATCCTTGAGGATAATTTGGGCTCCACCGTTATCTTACAAAATGAAGAGTTAAAAGAATACTCCACCGAAGACCTGCAATTACGCTTTATTCGCAAAAATCGAAGCCCAAGTCTATACAACGCCGTCTTTTCAGCTGCACCTGGCTTATGGAGAAAAGTTGTTGGCCTTACTCGGGTGCGCATCGAACACCAGCGGATTGACGTGGAAGAATTCTCTCCGTTCATCCAATGCCGTCGTTGTCATCAGTTTGGACACACGCAAACCCGTTGCCCTCCTGAAAAACTATGTGGTCACTGCGCAAAGCCTGGACATACAGATGAAAACTGTCCTATTGCTACTGCTCCTCCCATTTGTGTGAACTGCGTTACCCATAATGCTAAATTTAAAACAAGCTTAAGTACAAAACACTCTGCGTTAAATCAGGAATGCCCTAGACTACAGACCATGCGTCGCCGTATTTTAAATAAAATTGATTATGGTTATTAATAGCTCCAACAACCTGAAAATTTTACAATGTAATTTAGATAAATCTAAAGCTGGTTATACGGAATTTGAAATTTTTTTCTACTACCATACCCACCAGGTTGCTGTGGTTGCAGAACCTTATGTTGGGGCTGGTTTTCAAGCCAAAAACATTACAGGTATCGATGTATTCCAACAAACCTCTCCGGCGGCTCCTGTCAGAGCCGCAGTCTTTATTAAACACGACTTTGCTTTGAAAACACAAGCTTTACTTCTTTCACAGTATTCATCCCCTGATCCGGCTGTTGTAAAGCTCGTTTTAGGTCTTACCAAAATTTATGTTGTGGCAACATACATTCAACCTGTAATAGACCCAACGCCGATTTTGAATTCTTTATCCTCTTTCTTGTATGATGTTGAAGGGCGTGGGTGTATTAGCGCTGGCGATTTTAATGGGTGGCACCCAACTTGGGAAAAACCAATCGACATAATGCAAGAGGTGATTGTATTTATGATTTCATGGTAGAGCACGCGCTTTTCTGTTGTAATTCTGGAGACTCTTCTTTTGAAACGGTTAGGCACGGCGCTGTTCGTTCCAGCGCTATTGACCTCACTTTTGTAACAGATGATCTGTTTGGTAGAACTACAAATTGGCATACTAATTCGTCTGCTATTCCCTCAACTCAACACATCGCCATTGAGTATGAACTCACGTCCCTAATCACACACAGCCAAATTCCCAGACAGTCTACTCGTCGATACCATATCAATAAGCAGAGTGACTGGTTAGACTCACCACGATTTTTCATGAAGCCAATTTTGCCTCTATTGATTTTTCTAGTTTGTCTGAACGCGATTTGGAAATGCTTCTTTTGCAAATAACATCGGCTATCCACCAAGCAGCGGATTTAGTTTTTCCCCAATGTAGAGGTGATCCTTCACCGAAACCTCGTGCCCCATTCTGGTGCCCTCGATTGGATATCCTCAAGGAAAATCTCCTCCACTCAAAACGAGAGGTAAGCATGGCAAAGGCTCGTGGATTTTCGATAGAACAGTTAAGCCTCCTAGTAGAACGTTTACAGGATAATAGAAAACAGAATGTTGAAGCCATTCGCCAGGAATCTGCGAATGGTTTTAAAAAAATTTGCGAGTCGCAGACATTGGAGCATGTATGGACAGTAACTAACCCTATCCTCCGAACCGGAACTACTAGGAGGCCACCGTCCTCAGTTCTTGCTCATGGGCGGTATACGGCTGGTAGTCAAGAGACAGCTGAGGCCCTCTTAGAACATTTTTACCCAGCTGACCCTCCTCATATGGATTCACCCGCTCAGGCAGCTAAAAGAACATTATGTAGATCTCCTGCCACGACTCCCGATGATCCATACTTTACTGTAGAGGAGGTGCTAGAGGTACTAAAATCTTTCTCCCCAAAAAAGGCACCGGGACACGATGGCTTAACATCGGATATTTGTCGTACAGTCGCTGCAAACTTTCCCAACCTCTTAACAGGCCTATTTAATCGATGTCTATCTCTAGGGTACTTCCCGAAATTTTGGAAGCTTGCCATACTTAAAATCATCTCAAAATCAGGAAACGTGGACCATTCATCTTTGAAATCCCATCGACCCATTGGGCTCATACCAGTTTTTGGAAAAGCTCATGAAAAATTATTTACGGATCGAATTTTGCACCATTCAGCCACCAGCGGAACTCTTAACCCAGTCCAATCTGGATTCAGACGACATTCTTCGACGACCCATGCACTGAATGACGCTATATCCTATATTAGAGACAATTTAGGCGAAAAACGACCCACCGTAGCCATTTCATTCTTTTTTTTGTTTTTTTTTTTATTTCCAACACTCACACCAATTAGCCTAGCCCCAAAGTAAGCACTGTAAGGCTTGTGTTATCGAACAGAATACATATACAGTACATATATAAGTATATTTATATAGAAATACATATTAAACATCCATGACTGGAGAACAAATGCTCGTATTCATCACACAAACATCTGCCACCACCGGGATTCGAACCCGGGACCTCTCGAGTCAGCGACACCATGAAACCTGGCGTACAAACCACTCGGCCACAGAGGTCGTCATTAGACATCAAATCAGCATTTGATCAGGCTTGGTGGCCCGCCATTTTATCCCGATTAAAGGAGATTGGATGTCCCGCCAACATCCGCCTCGTTGCTGACTATCTCCGTGAAGGTATGGTGGCTTTGTCTCACGCGGGTGTCACTGCTACCACTACCACCCAACGAGGCTGTGTCCAGGGATCTGCTTGTGGGCCAGCGTTGTGGAATATTATCCTTGATGGTCTTCTCAGCCTGTCCTTTCCCGCCGGCTGCCGTATTCAAGCTTATGCAGATGACGTTTTTTTAATAGTTTCTGCCAAGGATCCCACCACACTTGAAAGAAATGCTCGACAAGCTCTATGGTTGCAAATTGGGGGCTAGGTGTCAAATTAACCTTTGGACCAGATAAAACAAAAGCCTTAGCTTTTACTTCCAAGGCGGCTAGGGCAACTTTATCAATGTTAAACACC